TAGCATATACTAGCCCCGCCCACCCGCCAACTCTTTCCTTCTAGGATATGTCATTTGCCAAAATCAGTCTTATCTTAGCAAGTACCACATATATTATATATTGGAATGGCAAAATAAATTATTAAACAATAATTAAATAGTGCTTACTAATACTCATTTTGGCAAATCACATATAAGGAATTCACGTTCGGTAGATGTAACTAGATTTGGTAACTTTTTTTTTTAAGCTGTGTAACTGCGGACATAATTGTTCTAGTGTATAATGTATTACTGGAATGTCAGAAAGTAGCTATCAAAAATGTGACATGTAAGTAAGTAAAGGTCAAATATCGAAAATGTGATGGTTTTGTGGTAATCTGGTGAATCTATTTTTGAACCAAGGAGAAAATCGCATCCCTCTAAAAGCCCAAAGAGCAACCCGCATGTAAAATTTTGAATCTTTTCCCTTCACTTCTTTTAGGAGGACAAGCTTTGATGTCATCATCATGGATCCACAATTTCACCATGGATCCGTTCTGGTATATCCATGTCTCATTCAAGAAAATGAAAAGTAAATCTTCACCACAATCACGCAATTGGAGATAGGTACCGCCTTAGAAATTTGATTCTGGCAGCTATAACGTGTTTAAAATGTGAAAAACTTCGCCTTCGGAAACCTAAATTTATACGTGTATTATGTACAATTATTTTCAAAGCCAAGTGTTTTACCTCTTACAAAACAATAACGATTATATAAAACTTGAAAACCAATTGTAGAACGGAACCAACAAAGCATGTAGGTATATAAATCTGCGCAGTCGTCTTTCTGATTCTGATTATAATATTAACGGCACAAGCGCCGCTGTATCTGTATTATTTTAAAATTCGAAAAGCACTCGACAACACTAGCGAACTTTACGGAGAATATTTCTGCCACCAGTTTAACTGTTTCCGTTTTACCCAATTTTTTGAAAACCACGAAATATTTCTTGTTTCTTTTCCTTTAAAATGAGCTTTCTCGTGATTACTTTTATGGAAACTGTTTCCACGCTGTATTTAAGGATTTTCTAGAAACGAAGCGTGTTGAAATTAGAAAAACTTCGTTTTTTTCCACACAATTCAGATTTGACATTTGAATTAGAAAATTAGACAGTTGATGCCAATCTTAAATTTCTAGTGATCTTAAGATTGCAACTTAACCACAGAAAAGTTTCTGTCAGTTACTTCTACCGAACGTGAATGCTTATTACTTTCCAAGAAAATAGGGGGCGGGTGGGCGGGCCTAGTATTTGATAAGATAAAACTGACTTTCGCACTTTTGACAATTTCGACTATTTCCGAAAATGTTTTGTTTGAAACAATTAAAAGACGATCTGACCCAATGGAAAATAGTTGGTTTATCGATCATTTTTCGCATATTACCAATCTAAAATATTTTTGACAATTTATCTTCAAATAACTGAGAACTGCTTGGAAAATGTCCCAAAAATTCCCAAAATTTCCAAAAAATTTGAAACCGGTCCAAATGGCCGGGTTTATTTGAAAAGAAAATATTGAGTTGCCAGTTTTATATTATTAATCGAAAATTTATCTTATGAAATCTTAGCCCCTCCCACCCACCCTCTACTTTCTTAAAGAGTATGTCATTTGCCAAGAATTGTCTTGTTTTAGCAAGTACTAGCCCTGCCCACCTTCTCTCTATTTTCTTAGGGGGCATGTTATTTGTTAAAATCAGTTTTTTACTTAGCAAATACTAGCCCCGCCCACCCGCCCTCTCTTCCCTTGTACGATGTGTCGTTTGCCAAAATCAGTCTTACCTTAGCAAGAACTAGCCCCGCCCACCCGCCCTGTATTTTTCCTAGGAGGTATGTCATTTGCCAAAATGAGTCCTACCTTAGCCAGTACTATATTATACTTATATTGAAATAGCAAAATAAATTATTAAACAATAATTAAATAGTACTTGCTAAGATAATACTGATTTTGGCAAATCACATACCTTCCAAGAAAAGAGAGGGCGGGTCGGCGGGGCTAGTACTTGCTAAGATAAGACTGATTTTGGCAAATGACATATCGTCTAAAAAAATAGAGGGTGGGTGGGTGGGGCTAGTATTTGATATGATAAAACTTTTTTCGCACTTTTGGACGTTTTCCACTATTTTTCAACTATTTCCGAAAATTAGCGAGAAAAGTGAGAAAATGTCTTCGTAATTTCTAAAAATGTTTTGCCTGAGACAGTTAAAAGACGATCTGACCCAACGGAAAATAGTTGGCTTGTAGATAATTTTTCGCAGATTACGAATGTAAAATATTTTTGACAATTTGTCTTCAAATAACTGAGAACTGCGGGGAAAATGTTCCAAAAATTCCCAAAATTTCCAAAAAATTTTAAACCCGTCTAAATGGCTTTATTTGAGAGGAAAACATTGAGTTTCTAGTTTTATAGAGTATTAATCGCAAATTTATCTTATGAAATAGTAGCTCCGCCCATCCACCTTCTATTTTCTTAAAGAGTATGTCATTTGCCAAAAATTGTCTTGTTTTAGCGAGTACTAGCTCCTCCCACACGCCGTGTTTTTTTCCTAGGAGGTATGTCATTTGCCAAAATGAGTCTTATCTTAGCAAGTACTATATTATATATTGAAATAGCAAAATAAATTATTAAACAATAATTAAATAGTACTTGCTAAGATAAAACTGATTTTGGCATATCACATACCTTCCAAGAATATAAGAGGGCGGGTGGGCGGGGCTAGTACTTGCGAAGATAGGACTGATTTTGGCAAATGACATATCCTCTAAGAAAAGAGAGGGTGGGTGGGCGGGCCTAGTATTTGATAAGATAAAACTGATTTTCACACTTTTTTACATTTTCAACTATTTTTCAACTATTTCCGAAAATTAGCGAGAAAAGTGAGTAACGTTTTTCGTAATTTCCAAAAATTTTTTGTCTGAGACAGTTAAAAGATCAGACGGAAAATAGTTGGTTTATAGATAATTTTTCGCAGATTACGAATCTAAAATATGTTTGACAATTTGTTTTCAAATAACTGAGAACTGCCGGGGATATTGTTCCAAAAAATTTGAGTATTAATCGCAGATTTATCTTATGAAATACTAGCCCCGCCCACCTACCCAGCTTCTATTTTCTTAAAGAATATGTCATTTGCCAGAAATTGTCTTATTTTAGCCAGTACTAGCCCTGCCCACCCTCTCTCTATTTTCATAAGGGGTATGTTATTTGCTAAAATAAGTTTTTTTTGGTAGCAAATTCTAGCCCCGCCCACCCGCTCTGTCTTTCCTTGTAGGATATGTCATTTGCCAAAAACAGTCTTACCTTAGCAAGTACTAGCCCCGCCCACCCGCCATGTATTTTTCCTAGGGGGTATGTCAATTGCCAAAATAAGTCTTATCTTATCAAGTACTATATTATATATTGAAATAGCAAAATAAATTATTAAACAATAATTAAATAGTACTTGCTAAGATAAAACTGATTTTGGCATATCACATACCTTCCAAGAATATAAGAGGGCGGGTGGGCGGGGCTAGTACTTGCGAAGATAAGACTGATTTTGGCAAATGACATATCCTCTAAGAAAAGAGAGGGTGGGTGGGCGGGCCTAGTATTTGATAAGATAAAACTGATTTTCGCACTTTTGACATTTTCGACTATTTTTCAACTATTTCCGAAATTTTTTTGTTTGAAACAGTTAAAAGACGATCTGACCCAACGGAAAATAGTTGGCTTATAGATAATTTTTCGTAGATCATGAATCTAAAATATTTTTGACAATTTGTTTTCAAATAACTGAGAACTGTGGGGAAAATATTCCAAAAATCCACAAAATTTACAGAAAATTTGAAACCGTTCCAATTGGCTTAATTTGAGAGGAAAATATTGAGTTTCTAGTTTTGTAGAGTATTAATCGCAAATTTATCTTATGAATTACTAGCCCCGCCCATCCACCCTCTATTTTCTTAAAGAGTATGTCAGTTGCAAAAATTGTCTTGTTTTAGCAAGTACTAGATTCCCCAACCTTCTCTCAATTTTTTTAGGGGTATGTTATGTGTTAAGATCAGTTTTTTCTTAGCATATACTAGCTCCGCCCACCCGCCCACTCTTTCCTCGTAGGATATGTCATTTCCCAAAATCACACTGGATAAAATAATTCAGTTTGAGTTGTTCGTTGATCTCTGAGAATAATTTCTAATTTCACTTTGAGGTTTGGATTTTGCATGGTTAATCCAAAGACGCGATCGCCGAACTTCGACAGTGCGACGGAACATCTCGCGAGAAATCGGATCGGGCGCGAATTTCAAAAGATGATTTTTAAAACCTTTTTACAGTAAATGAGCGCGATGCAACGATTTGAAAATAATACTGACCGATAGCCCTCTTCGACCTCCACAAAGGCATCACTCAGTAATAGCTTTAACGTGATCTGGGGAGATATTATAAAATAAAAACCAATTTGCCATGTTAATTCCCTATGTCCATAAAATCAGCTTTACGGAAATTCCATTGTTTATCACTGGATTTGTTCCTTATAATAACACGTATGGGAGATGTATTGTACTCCCAGTTTAAAGTGGTTTGACTTTTTTAACAGGGTACCTTTGGCTAAACAGGGTAAATTTTTTTTTCGATCATGTGGTATTATAAAAAAAAATACATCAAAATTTTCAAAATAAAACTATTTAGAACAAGTAAATAATAAAAACAAACTCACAAATTATATATTTTTATTCAACACTTCAAACATGTAATTTCATTCAAACAATAAAACCAGCTACCAAAACAATAAAATAACTATTATTTGAAGTGTTACAAATTTTAAAAATAATGCTTTAGAGTTAGCATCTGAACCCGTGATGAGTAATTATAAAAACTGCTCATTTAGAATATTATCGTTAACAAAATATCCACACTTTATTTTCAAGTATGAAAAAAGTATTTTTGATAAAATGTATTTAGTTACGAGTAATAAGTTTTTTTTTAACTTTGGGATGCTATGCAATTAACAAAATGTAAAAAAAGAAACGTGTAAGAATTAGATTTTTGCATCATAAATAATAATAAAATAACTTTGCATTCAATCTGCATACCTAACTAAACGAATTGTAGTCAAATCAAAACATCAAAATTTGATAATACTGCTCAAGTTATTAAAATCTAGTTAAAAATAGCAAGTACTGCTCTCTTGAAACTGAGTGACGTGTGCAACCTACGTGTTCCTACCCTAAATATATTAAATAGTTTGCCACTTATTCACTTATAAATAACAAGATGCAAAATAAAACCGACCAGCGGCCTCTCTTATAACAATATAATCTTCTTCAATATTATAATAAATCACGTGTTACAATACTATACAAAATTGCTCCTTACATCTAAAAATACTGTTGGACCCTTTACAGAAACCCATCTCCGACGCCGCATCCGACGCCGTCACCCACTAAGGCACCTTGAGCACTCCACTAGCCTAACTTAACCTACCCTAACCTATAATACTTGTACAAGTTCGCAGAGTATCACAATCTCGTCGTCTAACCTAAACCTAAATGTGTCCGTCCATGTAGTTCACCTCGTTGTACATCTGCCGGACGTTGTCTTCGCGCCGGTCCAGCGCGGTGTACTGGGGCACGTCCCGGGCGTACCCGTTGGGGGCGAACCCGTTGCCCATGTGGCGGACGCCGTTGGCGATGGTGTGCGCCACGCCGTTGCCCACGTGCTTGCTGATGGTCTCGATGGGCTCGGCCTCCAGGTCCTGCAGGGTGGCGTCGGGTACGTGCCCGTTGGGTAGGTGCCCGTTGGGGAGGTGCCCGTTGGGGAGGTGCCCGTTGGGGAGGTGCCCGTTGGCGTAACCGTTGCTGTGGGCGGCCTCCGGGGGCTGCTGCTGCAGCTTGATGTACTCGAGGTGCTCGCGGACCACGCTCTTGAAGTCCTCCTGGACGGGGACGGTGTCGGTGTCGCCGTCGACCTGCGGGACGACAGAGTTGGAGTTGTTAATTGATGGAACAATCTGTCTGTCCGTCTGTCTGTCTGTCGTCTGTCCGGATTTTTATTAGACATATAATCTCCGAAACTATTGGACTGATTGTTGTAAAGTTTTTTATGTGTCTTAGGAATATCGTGTAGATGGTAAAACGTTAACCAAAATGTGGCATTTTAGATTTTTCAATTTTACAATTTTGTAATTTTTCCATTATTTTATTCGAAAAAAAAATAATGTTTTTTTAAATTATTATAATTATTAAATATTTAACATGAAAACTAGAAAAATTGCAAATCAGAAATTGAAGAAACGAATAATTGAAAATTTGAAGAAACGTAAAACTGAACACCAAAAAATTGTGATTTTAAACACTGAAAAATCCAAAAAGTAAGTTTTTAATCTTTTCATTCTTAAATTATTTAAGTTCTTGATTTTCAATTTTTAGATTTTCCAAAGTTTTCATTTTATACTTTTTCGTTTATTGATTTTAGATATTTCAGTTTTACAATTTTGCAATTTTACCATTTTTTTTAATTCGAAACCAAATCAGAACATTGAAAAACCGAAAAATTAAAAAAATAAAGAAAATAAAAAACCAAAACGAAAAATTACAAATCCAAAAATTGTAGGAAAAATTGAAAAATCGTAAAATTGCAGAATCTAAAAACTAAAACATCCAAAATTTAAAAAATTGAAAAAATGAAAAATTTTAAAATGAAAATTCGAAGATTCGGATATCGTAAAATTGAAGAAACAAAAAAAATTAAAAAAAAATCGAAAAAAGCAAAATTGAAAAAACTGAAATTGAAAAAAAAATCGGAGCATTGAAAAGTCGTAAAATTGTACAAATAAAATGAAAACTAGAAAATAGCGACTTAAAGATTGAAAAACCGAAAAACTGAAAAATCTAACATTGAAAAAACGACAAACTAAAAAATCTAAAAATTAAAAAATATCCATAAATACGAATATTTCACGTTGAAAAAAAAGAAAAAGAACATTAAAAACCCAGAAATTGAAAAAACAAAGAAAATAAAAACCAGAAACCATTAATTATAATTTGAAAAATTGAAAACATGAAAAATTGAAAAGTTAAAGATTGAAAACTCGTGAAATTGCAAAATCGCAAAATTGAAACAAGCAAAAGTTGGAAAATCGAAAAACTGAAAAATTTAAAAATGAAAACTCGAAGAGTTGAATATCAAAAAATTGAAGAAACAAAAAAATTAAAAACTGAAAAATTGCAAATCGAAAAATTGCAAAATCGAATGGAAAATCGAAAAAATGAACCGAAAAATTGAAAAATTCTAAAATCATAAAAGTGTAAAAACCGAGAAACTGAAAAATCCAAACACAGAAATATTTCACACTGATAAAAAGAAAAAGGACATCGAAGACCCAAAAAATTAAAAAATAAAGAAAATAAAAACTCGAAAACATAAAAATCGAAAAATTGAATAAATGAAAAAATTTCAAATCCAATAATTCAAAATGGAAAAATTCTAAAAACGTAAAGATTTTTTTCTTAATTATTATAATTATTAAATATTTAACATGAAAACTAGAAAAATTGCAAATCCAAAATTGAAGAAACGAAAAATTGAAAAATTGGGGAAATGAAAATTTGAAAATCGAAAATTTGTGATATACTTTTTCGTTTTTCTTTTGATTTTAGTTATTTCAATTTTACAATTTTGAAATTTTTCCATTTTTTTTTATTCGAAATAAAATCAGAACATTGAAAAAACGAAAAATTGAAAACATCCAAAATTTGGAAAATTGAAAAACTGAATAATTTAAAAATGAAAACTCAAAGATTCGGATGTCGTAAAATTGAAGAAACAAAAAAAAAATAAAAATTACAAATCAAAAATCGAAGAAACGAAAAACTGAAAAAAATTTAAACTGAAAAAAAAATCGAAGCAATGAAAAATGGAAAAATTGTAAAAATAATAAAATCTGAATAATTGAAAAATTGAAGAATCGGAAAAACAAGAAACTAAAAAAACCGCAACGAAAAATTGCAAATCGAAAATTTGAAAAATTGAAAACTTGAAGAATCGGAAAAATGAAAAATAATTGAAAAATGGAAAAATTCTAAAATCATAAAATTGTAAAAGTGAAAAATGTTTAAAATTATTATTATTATTGTTATTACATAATTAAAATAAAAACTAGAAAATTGCAATCAAAAATTGAAAAAGCGAGAAACTGAAAAATCCAAAAACAGAAATATTTCACACTGGAAAAAAGAAAAAGGACATTGAAGACCCAAAAAATTAAAAAATAAAGAAAATAAAAACCCGAAATCTGAAATCATAAAAATCGAAAAATTGAAAAATTGAATAAATGAAAAATTTCAAATCCAATAATTTAAAATGGAAAAATTCTAAAATCGTAAAGATTTTTTTCTTAATTATCATAAATAGAAAAATTGCAAATCAAAAATTGGAGAAACGAAAAATTGAAAAATTGTAGACGTGAAAATTTGAAAACCGAAAAATTGCCGTTTGAAACATTGAAAAATCCCAAAAATTTCTAATTTTTAGATTTTTCAACGATTTCATTCTATACTTTTTCGTTTTTTTTTTTTCATTTTAGATACATATTTCAATTTTATAATTTGGCAATTTTTCCATTTTTTTTATTCGAAATAAAATCAGAACATTGAAAAACCGAAAAATTGAAAACTCGTGACATTGTGAATCGAAAAATTGCAAAATCTAAAAACTAAAACATCCAAAATTTGAAAAATTGAAAAACTGAAAAATTTAAAAATGGAAAGTCGAAGACTCGGATGTCGTAAAATTGAAGAAACAAAAAAAATACAAATCAAAAATCGAAGAAAAAAACTGAAAAAAATTGAAATTGAAAAAAAATCGGAGCAATGAAAAATCTTTTCGAGTGAAATAATGGAAAAATGGGAAATTTCTAAAATCGTAAAATTGAAAAACAAAAATTTTTTTAAAGTTATTCTTATTATTATTATTACATATTTAAAATGAAAACTAGAAAAATGGCAATTCATAAACTGATAAAATGAAAATTTGAAAAATCGAGAAATTGGAAACTCTTAAAGTTGAAAAACGAAAAATTAAAAAAAGTAAAAGGTAAATGTCGAAAAATTAAACACCGAAAAATCCCAAATCCCAAAATTGAAAATTAAATAATTTCACATTGAAAAACCGAAAAACTGAAGAAAATGAAGAAAAATAAAAAACAAAGCGAAACATTGCAATGCAAAAAATTGAATGAAAAACTGAAAAATCGTGAAATCGCAGAATCGAAAAATTAAAACATCCAAAATTTGGAAGACTCGAATATCGTAAAATTGAAAAACAGAAATCGAAGAAAAGAAAAATTGCAAAAATTTAAATTGAAAAAAAATCGGAGCAATGAAAAATCGAAAAATCGTAAAAATAAAAAAAACGAAGAATTGAAAAATTCAAAAATCGGAAAATTGAAAAATCGAATAAATGAATATAATTGAAAAATGGAAAAAAATTTGAAATCGTAGAATTGCAAAAGTTGCAAATCAAAAATTGAAAAACCGAGAAACTGAAAAACCTGAAACTGAAAAAAAACAAAAATTAAAAAATTTAAAAGTTAAAAAATCAAAGAATCTGTCTGTCGTCTGTCCGGATTTTTATATAACAAGTATCTAAGGTTATTGCAAACATCGTAAATCATTAATTAAAATTTGTCTGTTACAATTATGCAATTTTTCAATTTTTTTAATTCGAAAAGTTGAAAAATTGAAAAATTAAAGATCGAAAGCTGGAAAAAACGAAAAATTGCAAAATCGAATGGAAAATCGAAAAAATGAGAAACGAAAAATTGAAATATTGAAAAACTTAAAAATCGAGATTCTTAAGAATCTAAAAAAATTGTAAATGGAAAAAAAATGAAAAAAGCGGAAGCGAAAAAGTGACAAACCAAAAAATTGTTACTTCGAAAGATTATAGAGACGTCAAAATTGTAAAATCGAAAAACTGAACATCGAAAAATTGAAAAACTAAATTATCAAGAAATTGAAAAATTAAAAATCATAACAGTAAAAAGCGAATAAATGAAAAACTTTTAAAATCCAATAATTCAGAAATGAAACAAATCTAAAAACGTAAAACTGAACATTTTTTAAAATTATTAATTATAATTTTAGTAAGTAAGTAAGATTTAACATGAAAACTAGAAAAATTGCAAATAAAAAATTTGAGGAAACGAAAAATTGAAAATTTGTGGTTTGAAACACTGTAAAATCCCAAAAATTAAGTTTCTCAAATTTTAATCGTTTCATTCTTAATTTTTTCAAGTTCTTGGTTTCCAGTGTTTAGCTTTTTCAAAATTTTCATTTTATATTTTTTCGTTTCGTTTCGTTTTAAATATTTCAATTTTACAATTTTGCAATTTTTCCATTTTTTTTAGAGGAAACAAAATCAGAACATTGAAAAACCGAAAAACTGAAAAAATAAAGAAAATAAAAAACCAAAACGAAAAATTCAATGAAGAATTGCAAAATCGTGAAATTGCTGTTCGAAAAATATTTCAGAATATAAAACTAGAACAATAAAAAAGTGTAAACTCGAAGACTCGGATATCGTAAACTTGAAGAAAGAAAAAAAAATTGTAAATCAAAAATCGAAGAAAAGAAGAATTGCAAAGTTTGAAATTGAAGAAAAAATCGGAGCATTGAAAAATTGAAAAATTGAAGAATCGGAAAAATGAAAAATTAAAACTCGAAAAGTTGAAAAATTTAATAAATGAAAAATAATTGAAAAATGGAAAATAATTGAAAAATGTAAAAATTCTAAAATCGTAAAACCGAAAAATGTCTCTTTTTCAATTTTTTTTCAGTTTTCAATTAGTGGATTTTAAAACTTTTTCATTTATTTGATTTTTAATTTTTCAATTTTTCATTTCTTCAAATTTTTGATTTGCAGTTTTTCGTTTCGGTTTTTTATTATTTTTTTTTACAATTTTCCGAT